GAGTTTTTTGAAGTTGTATTTTTTTTGTCAGAATTTTTCGGAAAATGAAAAAATTAAAACATTTTTTTTCACTATTTTTTTTTTTAACATACTGTCACCAGTGCAGTACAGCGTCATCATATAACTGACATGGCGGTGATCAGGGACACTGACTGATGACAGCATGAAAAAAAAAAAAAATTTAAATTTTAAAATTTTTTATTACTTTAAGATTTTTTTTCCATATTTCACTATGACCAAATTAGTACAATGTTACCATAGTAACATTGTACTACTTTGGGGATGTGAACTTTTTTTTTTTTTTTACATAATTTGCTTATAGCAAAGAATCACTTTGCTATAAGCAAGCATTTACCTGAATGACATCGATTCATTCAGGGCTTTTTTTTTTTTTTTGTGCTTAGCTGTGATTTGGCCACGGCGAATCACATGACACAGCTTGGCTGTGATTGGCCCAGCTTGTGCATGTGATCGCTGTGACCATTCACAGCTAGACACACTAGTATGAAAGGAAGCAAGAAAGGAAGCCATCCATTGTATACAACTGTCATGTGACCTGCTGTGATTGGTCACAGCAGGTTACATGGTACCGGCAACGGGGCCGGTACTCTGATCTGTCATCGGCCGTGTCCGAGGTACACGGCTGGTGACAGATCGCGCCGCTGCGTGGCTCTGCAGGCGCGCAAACTGTGCATGCCCGGGAGGACGCCATATGGCGTCCACCAGGAACGCTGAGGAATTTTGCCGTCCGCCATCTGGCCATAGGCCGGGCGGGTAAAGGTTAATGAATGTACACTGCTTTATACCTATGCCCCCCAGTGTATAATATAAAAGTTTAGATACCTGGATTGTTGCAGTTTAGAAATGTCTAAGCAGCAACTTGTTCTCCCGACTTGCATGTGATTCTTGTAAACGACCAAGTCTTGCCTCCCCTCAAAGTGGAACTAAACGGCTAGCATATGCACAATGTATGTCTCTGGTGATTTCTGCCACACTTGTCAGTGTGCTTAGGTCAGCTCTCGACCAGTCTTTAAAGCCCTTGAATGGCTGGTGTGGTAGATGCCAACCGTAGATCTAAATAGATGCAGAGTTAGCTTCCTTCTTGTGTGGGAGGATACAGTAGGATGGATTACTTTCTCTTTCAATACAATTCACCACCACCCACCAACATGGGGTCACAGACGGCGACTTTGAGTTCACCAGTAGGTTTAATATACCTTACAAAGGGAGGGGCTTGATGACGTCACGATGCTCTTGATACACCGATCTACCCACAGTGTCATTTCAGATGAGTGGAACCTATCTTTTATTGCCTGTATATGAACAATGCTGGATATTTATGTGCAATATATCTGGTGTGATTTAGCACCTTTATTATGTGAGTGGCCACTTTATATGTTTTAATAAAATAGAGTTTTTAAAAGGACAAAGCACTATTGTGTTGAATATTTTTTCACCGTGTATGCTGAGTGGAGAAGGAAAGATTAGGGAGAGTGGCTATCAATGGAGGAAGATTCCATTACCAGGATACATCGGTTGTTGTATGTCCACTGCAAGGGACACGTGTTTATTTGACCTAACTTTATGTGTAGTCAAAAACTCAAGATGAGGGCACATCTGGTGTTTGTATTTGGTGGAGGATTAAATGACATGAAGAGATGAAATATGAAACACATTCAAGTTGAAGAAATCACTATGAGACTTTTGATTTTTAGGTTTTATATTCATATTTTGTATTGATTTATGTTTACATTATTGTTTGGTTCTATTAAAGTGGAGTTCCACCCAAAAGGGCAAGTTTCGCTTTAAGCCTTTGTCCCCTGCTCCCCATTAAGGATTGGCACCTTTGGCGAGCGGATACCTGAATTTGACAGGTACCCGCTCCCACTGCGATCGCCTAGGCGATTGGAAGCGGAAGATATCCTCCTACCCTTCCTCCCCGTAGTGTTCTGGGACACGTGACAGGTCCCAGAAGACTACGGGGCCATTCACAAAGTGCAGCGCTTCTCGCACATGTGCAGTGGGCACCTGGCTGTGAAGCCGCAAGCTGTGACAGCCGGTGCTCACACTGAAGATGCCGGCGCCGGGGAGAGAAGACGGCCTGTGAAACCAGCTCTTTTTTAGTGGAGTGCGACGTGTTATTTATGGTTTGTTGTAACCAATAAGTGGTGTTGATTAGCATTATATAAAAGTTCACATGCTGCATTTACTGTATATTTGATACAAAATTTGTCAACTGTGCAGAACGTGTCTATTTATTGGTTAGCGGAGTTCCCCAGCAGGAGTTCCCCATGATTAACTGCAAGAGGCAGCCCCATTGAAAGCAACGGGAGGCTGACAGCTACAACGGCTAGTCATGCCCACTTGCATGAACATGTGAGTGATTGGCCCAGGGTGACTCATGTGATCGCTGCATGGGAGGTTACATTAGAGAAGGCACGATTAGCTGCGGGAGCTGGCAGCCTCCTATTGGTCTCAATGGCGCTGCCTTTGCAGCTAAACCCCTCTGGGGTTCTTGCATCTAACCCAAACTACAGATGCATTCACAAGTGTGAATAAACCCTTATAAATAGTTAGTTCTAACACTTCTGTGTCACTTGAAAGCAGTCAACTGCAAGCTGCAATTATACTTTGTTGCCAGTAATTAGATTTTAAAATACAGTCCGTCTCCAACATACAGTGAAGGAAGAGTGGTGTGAATATCAAAGTGGTGTGCAGATCAAAGAAGAAGCTTTAAGAAAACAAAAGGAAATATCTTATACCCTCAAAATGAGCAGAGGTTAGCAGAGGTACCTGTTGGCAAAAGATGTGCTTGGAGACTATCTTCATAAAGTGGATGTTTATCGATCAAGGGTTACGCATTCGACAACAACACATTTCACGATGTCAGGATGGAGACATCTTCAGGAAGGTGTATGAAACTCTGAAAAAATAAATATATATTTTTTAATAGGTATAGTGTGGGAAAGGTTTTTTTTAATCTCAAGTCTTTAAAAAAAACAAACAAAAAAACAAAAAACGCATAAAAAAAACACGTCTGATACATAAAGCAATTATGTTGATTTACTAAAGACAAATATAGGCTGTCCACTTTGCAAGGGATTTTTTTCCCCAGAGCTTAGTGAATGTGGTGAAATTTCACTTTGCAAAGAATACCCCAAATGTTCATGGACAATAAAAAGAAGATTTTAGCTGTTAAAATGACCTTGTTGCCCCAACTTCTATATTTCTGTTGCTTGCTGCCGGTGCCCCTCTGCAAGTCAGATTTCTACACTTTTATTTTAAACACCTCCTGCCCGCCATGTATGGAAATGACAGGCGGGCAGTGGCTCTCATGCTGGGAGGACGTCATATGACATCCTCCCACCCTAACTGCACGCCGATCGGTGGTGTACTGTGTCCCTGGGACACAGCGGATCACCGATCACAGTAAAGAGCCGATGACACAGTCCAATCACAGCTGATATCATGTATCAGGAAATGCCAGTTATCAGCATTCATCTCCTCATGCTGGCAGCGCGTGAGAGGAGAGCCGGAAAGTGGCACTCCTCAGAGAGGATATCTCCACTGATCAGGGGCGGACTGACCATTTGGAAACTCAGGCACTGCCCAAGGGGCCGGGGTCAGTAGGGGGCCCCATGAGATGCCACTGGTACCTTTTTCATAGGCTTTTTTGAGTTTGGGCAAGCACACAGGGGCCATATGATCCCCTATTGCCCGGGGGCCCCATGAGTTGTCAGTGCGCCCCTGCCACTGATCATTAGGGCACGGATGATCAGTGTAGCCCCATCAGTGCCACCTGTCAGTGCCCAACAGTGCCACACACCAGTGTCCATCAATGCCATGTATCAGTGCCCATCAGAGCTGCCTTTCAGTGCCCACCAGTGATGCTTGTCAATGCCACCAGCAATGCCTGTCAATGCCCATCACTGCAGCCTCATTAGCGCACATCAGTGAAGGAGAAAAATTACTTACTGTATTTTTCGCTTCATAAGACGCACCTAGGTTTTAGAGGCAGAAAACAGGAAAAAAAAATTCTGAACTAATGGACTGCAGGACACAGGGATGACCAGGACTGGGATGGGGACAGGGGATGACCAGAGACTGCGGACACGGGACAGGGGATGACCAGAGACTGCGGACACGGGACAGGGGATGACCAGAGACTGCGGACACAGGGACAGGGGCGGACACGGGACAGACCAGAGACTGCGGACGGACAGGGGATGACCAGAGACTGCGGACACGGGACAGGGGATGAGAGACTGCGGACACGGGACTGCGAGACTGCGGACACGGTACAGGGGATGACGGGGTACAGGGGATGACCAGAGACTGCGGACACAGGGGACAGGGCGGATGGGGATGACCAGAGACTGCGGACACGGTACAGGGGATGACCAGAGACTGCGGACACGGGACAGGGGATGACCAGAGACTGCGGACACGGTACAGGGGATGACCAGAGACTGCGGACACGGTACAGGGATGACCAGAGACTGCGGACACGGTATGGAGATGACCAGAGACTGCGGACACGGTACAGGGGATGACCAGAGACTGCGAGACCTGCGACACGGGACAGGGCGGACACCGTGGACCAGAGACTGCGGACACGGTACAGGGGATGACCAGAGACTGCGGACACCGTACAGGGGATGACCAGGACAGGGGATGGAGACTGCGGACACAGTACAGGAGATGACCAGAGACTGCACAGTACAGGGGATGACCAGAGACTGCGGACACAGTACAGGGGATGACCAGAGACTGCGGACACAGTACAGGGGATGACCAGAGACTGCGGACACAGTACAGGGGATGACCAGAGACTGCGGACACAGTACAGGGGATGACCAGAGACTGCGGACACAGGGGATACAGGGCGGATGGGGATGACCAGAGACTGCGGACACAGTACAGGGGATGACCAGAGACTGCGGACACAGTACAGGGGATGACCAGAGACTGCGGACACAGTACAGGGGTACAGGGGATGCGGACACAGTACAGGGGATGACCAGAGACTGCGGACATAGTACAGGGGATGACAGGGCGGACATAGTACACCAGAGACTGCGGACAGCACAGGGATGACCAGAGACTGCGGACACAGTAAAGGAGATGACCAAGAGACTGCAGGCAGTACAGGAGATGACTGCTGACCTTTGGGGAGGGAGGGGGAGCGGGTACCTGAATTTGACAGGTACCCGCTCTTACTTCCGCGGAGTTGTTCTTTGATCTTACCTGTTCCTCTATCCAGCGGCGCGCTGTCTTCCCGGCTTCTGTAGTGTCGGCGCTCGGCGGACAGCCAGATGCCCAGTGCGCATGAGCGAGAAGCGTTGCGCTTTGTGATTGGTCCGGCGGCTTCTGGGATCTGTCATGTGTCCTAGGTACTGCCTTACCATTCACAAAAAGCACCGCTTCTTGCTCACTTGGCACCCAGCTGTCCGCCGAGGGCCGACACTACAGAAGCCGGGAGACAGCGCGCCGCTGGATAGAGGAACAGGTAAGATCAAAGAACAACTTCGCGGAAGTAAGAGCGAGTACCTGTCAAATTCAGGTACTCGCTCCCCAAAGGTCAGCAGTCATCTCTATAAGGTCCCGCTGCAGAGCTGAGCGGCTGGCCCGGTATTCTGACACGGCGGCGGTGGAAATACCGGACCTGCCGCTCCATAAGACGCACTGACATTTTCCCCCCTTTTTTTGGGGGAAAAAAGTGCGTCTTATGGAGCGAAAAATACGGTATTTACAACATTTTATAACAGAAACCCAGAGGTGATTAAATACCACCAAAAGAAAGCTCTATATGTCTAAAAAAAAAGATAAACATTTTGTTTGGGTACAGTGCTGCATGACTGCGCAATTGTCAAAGTGCGACAGTGCTGAAAGCTGAAAATTGGCCTGGGAAGGAAGGGGGTAAAAGTGCCTGGTAGGCAAGTGGTTAAAGTGCTAACATTTATTTGGGGCCCGTAGGGTCATAAGCTAGCACATGGTACTTTGTTTACGCATAGGGAAAGTGGGAGCTTGATGTCCTTGATTTTTGGGGATCATGGAGACTGCAGCTCAGCAATTATGCTCTACTGATAGACCTGGGAGACAGGGGTGGACTGACAACTCATGGTGCCCCCGGGCAATAGGGGATCATGGGGCCCCTGTGTCCTTGTCCAAACTCAAAAAAGCCTATGAAAACGGTACCAGGGGCATCTCATGGGGGCCCCCTACTGACCCCGGGCAGTGCCCGAGTTCCCAAATGGTCAGTCCGCCCCTGCTGGGAGAAGAAGAGAATCAAGTCTGTGGGTTCCGTCCATAGCACCAAGAAATCCAGCAGCCAGTCCTGGAGGGCTCCAAGGGCAAGCAGCCCCTTGAAGCCTCAACAGTCCTACCAGGAAGGTAGGATGTCCAGACACCAACTATCTTGCCTACCCCAGCTCCAGCCTACTTACACCCCCTTCTCTGTCTACCTACTGGGCACACCTCTCCAGGGAATGGTCAAGGAGGGTAGTAAAATATTCAGGCTGAAGATTGGAATCTTCCTGCCCCAAGCTCTGGAATTTCCTCATCAGAAACTAGGAGGAAGCAATAAATCCTACAGCCTGTGGATTTAAAAGACAAGCAGACAATCCCACTCCTCGGCACTAGTCCCTAGTACCTGACTAGGAAGGTGCTACGATTAAGCCATGTCTCAGCAAATCAACACAGTGTACGGTTTAGGATTTAATTTATTTACTATATAGATTGATATCTTCAGTAACTAGTATAGACAATTCCCCATCAAGTCTGCTTCCCATGTGATTGACAGGCAGTGGATGGATGTTACAGCCGCTATTGGTCTGCATAGAGGCTATAGAAGCCTCCCACCTTTGCTGTCACTCACAAGCAAGGCAGACCTGATGCGGTACTAGTCTCTCACAGACGTCACCACGCATATGCACGATTGTTAATGGTGTTCTGGGATATGTACCGTTTTTTCCGGCGTATAAGATGACTTTTCAACCCCTGAAAATCTTCTGAAAAGTCGGGGGTCGTCTTATACGCCGGTATACGGCGAGCCGGTGTCAGGGCGGCACTTTTTCGAGGGACAGGGGTGGGCAGAGGGGCTGCTGTACCTTACCTGGCTCCGGTCCCGGTCCCACGACGATCCGGTCCAGGAAGCGCGGCTGCTCCTTCTTTCAGTTCGGCCGCTCGATGGTCGCGCGGCCGCTCGGCTCCGCCTCCTCACCGGTGATTGGGCGCCAGCTCTGGAAAGGCACACAGACAACCAATCACCGGCGAGGAGGCAGAGCCGAGCGGCCCCGCGAAAATTGAGTGGCCGAACTGAAAGGAGCAGCCGCTCCTCTCCCCCCACTGACACTAACGATGGGGCACTATTCCTCCGCCACACTGACACCAACGATGAGGCACTGTTCCTCCCCCACTGACACCAACGATGGGGCACTATTCCTCCCACTGACACCAATGATGGGGCGCTCTTCCTCCCACTGACACCAATGATGGGGCGCAATTCCTGCCACTGATACCAATGATGGGGCGCTATTCCTCCCACTGACACCAATGATGGGGTGCTATTCCTCCCACTGACACCAATGATGGAGCGCTATTCCTCCCACTGACACCAATGATGGAGCACTATTCCTCCCACTGACACCAATGATGGAGCACTATTCCTCCCACTGACACCAATGATGGAGCACTATTCCTCCCACTAACACTAATTGGGGCACTATTCCTCCCACTAACACTAATGATGGAGCACTATTCCTTCCACTGATATCAATGATGGGGCACTATTCCTCCCACTGATACAAATGATGGGGCACGATTCCCCCCACTGATACCAATGATGGGGCACGATTCTTCCCACTGACACTAATGATGGGGCACGATTCTTCCCACTGACTAATGATGGGGCCGATTCTTCCCACTGACTAATGATGGGGCACTATTCCTCACACACTGACACTAATGACACTAAGTGTCAGTGGGAGGAATAGTGTCCCATCATTGGTATCGGTGGGAGGAATAGTGCCCCATCATTGGTGTCAGTGGATAAAATAGTGCCCCATCATTGGTGTCAGTGGGAGGAGTAGTGCCTCATCATTGGTGTCAGTGGGAGGAATAGCACCCCATCATTGGAATACCATACTGAAATAGCATACCATATTGAAATCAAATCTGATGTTTTTTCATTTTTATTTGGTGAGCGTTGGAAGAGGGGTAGTCTTATACGTCGAGTATAGCTCAAACCCTGTATTTTAACAGGAAAAGTAGGGGGTCGTCTTATACGCCGGAAAATACGGTAGTTTGTTTGGTGCTGATTACTTCTTTACATGTGAGCAGGGCGGACTGACCATTCGAGCACTCGGGCACCGCCCGAGAGCCCAGGGTCAGTAGGGGGCCCCATGAAATGCCCCTGGTACCTTTTTATAGGCTTTTTTGGTGTGGGTAAGGACACAGGGGCCCCATGATCCCCTATTGCCCGGGGGCCCCATGAGTTGTCAGTCCGCCCCTGCATGTGAGTGCTTTTAACTGATTCAATAAAACGCTTACCTGCTGATTTTACACTATTGGAGTTTGGACTTTCTTTTCTTTCAGGTCTATGATCTGCTCAGAGGAGTTGTCTTTGGAAAATAGGTGGAATCCCTTGTCCATAGTAACCGCTTTGTAGTGTTCACATCCAGTGCAGTTTGACGTCTCATATATTGAGGGTCACACAATTTTTGGTAATCCTTTATGTTTACTAAGGTGGAGGGAGACATGGTGGAGTACACAGGAAGATTCGTTTTTGAATCACTTGTGGTCACAGTCTGAGGATCACACATTTTGGTGATTCGATCACCCAAAATTAGTGCAGCACTTTTCGTTTCTACTTCTGTTTGATTTATTACAGGTACTTCTATAACTCCGTCAATTTACGCAGCACCTTACATATACAGATTGGGTAGTACATTAAGCCCCTGCCTTCATGGAGCTTACAATCTCAGATCCCTAACTCACATTCATACATACACATACTAGGGCCAATTTATACAGGAGCCAATTAACCTACCAGCATGTCTTTGGAGAGCGGGAGGAAACTGGAGTATCCGGAGGAAACCCACGCAGGCACAGGGAGAACATACAAACTGCAGGCATGCAGTATCATGGTGGCGATTTGAACCAATGACTCTAGTGCTGACAGGTGGAAGTGCTAACCACTAAATCACATAAAGTCCTCCTGCGCTCTTATGGTAAGTGGTGGATAAAGAAACTAAAAAGCAGCCAGCATCTATCCCGCACCAAAAAAGGGTAATATGAATAGAATATAAAGTTGATGCAGCGCTAAGAAACTAAAGACAAAAAATAGTATATATCCAGATAGTAAAATAAAAATGATAACATGACCCAGGATCGCCTGGGGATACAAAAAACAATAGCCCTTATAAGACTAATAGCAGTGATAAGTGGTTTAAGTGCAGGCTAAGGTGTCCATAGTTCATACAGGGGTGTAAGTGAATCACAGCACACTCCAAAGAAGGTGACCCCGGGCAGTCTTGCTGCAGTGGCCTCTCACCTCCACTCCACGACCCTACAGGGCCATAAAGCGTAATGTAGATCACCACGAAATCCTCCAATACGGACTCTTTAGATGAATGAATGAACAGGGACAGATTTCCTCCAAGTCAGTGGATGAATAGAAGGCACTCTCCTCCGATATCACAGCCGCTCATATGCCACATTTCCACGAAGGCCTGCTGCACATCTGAAGCTTACTGTGGAACCGATTTACAAGCTATATTTGCACGGTAACGCTTGCCTTCAGTGTCATTCATTCATGGCCGTTAGTTCTCAGTAGATGAAGAATTATTCATTGTGATGGTCCAAGGACTACTTGGCACCCCCACTGTATCTGTGAAAGGAGTGAAAGAAGTCTCACAGTTGTCACCCAGGCTGGTCTTCAAACATGTCTTCAGTAGTTTACAGTTTCAAGGACATGGCACTGCTGTCAAGATGAACTGGTATTTTCTGTACTTGCGGAAAATGTTCTCAACATTTTACTGGCTGCGTCGTCCTCTCAGCGTCTCCACAGTACTTGTGACGCACAACTTTGTACCCTTGGGTACAAAGTTGTGCGTCACAAGTACTGTGGAGACGCTGAGAGGACGACGCAGCCAGTAAAATGTTGAGAACATTTTCCGCAAGTACAGAAAATACCAGTTCATCTTGACAGCAGTGCCATGTCCTTGAAACTGTAAACTACTGAAGACATGTTTGAAGACCAGCCTGGGTGACAACTGTGAGACTTCTTTCACTCCTTTCACAGATACAGTGGGGGTGCCAAGTAGTCCTTGGACCATCACAATGAATAATTCTTCATCTACTGAGAACTAACGGCCATGAATGAATGACACTGAAGGCAAGCGTTACCGTGCAAATATAGCTTGTAAATCGGTTCCACAGTAAGCTTCAGATGTGCAGCAGGCCTTCGTGGAAATGTGGCATATGAGCGGCTGTGATATCGGAGGAGAGTGCCTTCTATTCATCCACTGACTTGGAGGAAATCTGTCCCTGTTCATTCATTCATCTAAAGAGTCCGTATTGGAGGATTTCGTGGTGATCTACATTACGCTTTATGGCCCTGTAGGGTCGTGGAGTGGAGGTGAGAGGCCACTGCAGCAAGACTGCCCGGGG